TTAATTAATTAAAAAAAAAAAAACTCCAGGGGTACCCAGTCACAGGAGGGCCCCCCACAATTTTGTGAGATTTACCTCCAGGAGCTCAAGCTGGTTCCCACAGTAAATACTAGAGACAAATCCCCTTGTGCTTTAGGCAGAGGGGAAAAAGGACCATTTTGAAATTCATCAGAGCACTCTGTTCTTCCTAACAAGGCCTGCCCCAGGGAGAACTAATTAACCAGATCCTAACCTGCTGGGGTATTATCAGAGCCTAACTCACCTGGGGAAGGGGAATACCCAACTCCAGCCCGCACTAGTCATACTCTCCCACTTAAGAGGGAGAAAAAAATTAAAAACACTTGTGAAGTTCATAGTCTAGAGGCATAAACTCACCAAAAGACTGAGACCAATCATAGGATTGTAGAATTCTTCCCCTGCCGCCCCGACCTACACCTCACCACCACATTGCTTAAGGTCTATTTTGTTCCTTTTACCCAGCACATCATGTCTGGCTATCAAGAAAAAATTACAAGGCAGGGGGCTTCCCTGGTGGCGTAGTGGTTGAGTCCACCTGCCGATGCAGGGGACATGGGTTCGTGACCCCGTCCGGGAAGATCCCACATGCCGCGAAGCGGCTAGGCCCGTGAGCCATGGCCGCTGAGCCTGTGTGTCCGGAGCCTGTGCTCCGCAACGGGAGAGGCCACAACAGTGAGAGGCCCGCGTACCGCAAAAAAAAAAAAAAAAAAAAAAAAAAGGAAGAGAAAAAAGGAATTCCCGCCACAAACCAAAATTGAGGGAATTTTTTGCCAACAGATCTATTATTTTTATAATATATACTATATTAATTTCAGACACAGCAGACTTCAAAGCAAGGAAAGTTATCAGTGATAAAGAAGGGCATCACAAAATAGACTATATTCTGGGCTCTCCAATCACTTTTGAATTAAATTAGAGCACTACACTAGTTAGATAACTAGAATATCTCTGTTTGGAAATTAAGCAACATATTTCTGAATAACCCATGAGTCAAAGAAGAAATTAAAATGGGAATAAGGACTCATTTTTAACTGAATGACAGTAAAAATGTAACATAGCAAAATTTATGGATACTGTAAGCATTATGTTTAGAGGGAAATGTATAGCTTTAATGTATATATCAGAAAAGTAAAATTTAAAAATCAAAGATCTAAGAAGGTAGAGAAATAAAAACAAATTTAAAACAAAGTAGAAAATAAAATAATATTGATAAGAGCAGAAATCAACAAAATAGAAAACAAATATACAATATAAAAGTCAACAAGCCAAAAGCTGTCTATTTGAAAGCTCAATATAATCAATAAATCCCTATCAAGACCAATGAAGAAAAACAAAAGAGAAAAATTATCAATATCAGGACTCAAAATGAGACATCACTATAGATCCTACAAGCATGAAAAGGGTAATAAGAGGATATTATGAACCAGTTCATATCAATACATTTGAACATTTTGATGAAGTGGAAAAATTATTTGAAAAATAAAACTTACCACAACTGACCCAAGAAGAAATAGAAAATCTGAATAGTCCTATATCTATCAAAGAAATTTAACCTACAATTTAAAACTCTAACCACAAAAATCCAGGCCCAGATGGTTTTTTTTTAATTAATTTATTTAATTTATTTATTTTTGGGTGCATTGGGTCTTCGCTGCTTCACGCGGGCTTTCTCTAGTTGTGGCGGGGGGGGGCTATTCTTTGTTGCGGTGCGTGGGCTTCTCATTGCAGTGGCTTTTCTTGTTGCAGAGCACGGGCTCTAGGTGCGCGGGCTTCAGTAGTTGTGGCACACGAGCTCAGTAGTTGTGGCTCGTGGGCTCTAGAGCACAGGCTCAGCAGTTGTGGCGCACGGGCTTAGTTGTTCCATGGCATGTGGGATCTTCCTGGACCAGGGCTCAAACCCATGTCCCCTGCACTGGCAGGCGGATTCTTAACCACTGTACCATCAGGGAAGCCCCGGCCCAGATGGTCTTACTGGCGAAATCTTCCAGACAATTAAGGGAGGAGTACCAATCTCAGAAAAACTCTTTTGAAATAGAGAAAACAGGGCACACGTTTGTGGTGGTTTTGTACTGTGTCAACTGGGCTAAGGTGGACCCACCTTTCTTAGACTCCCTCTTCCCTGTATGGTACTAGGTTAGAGTTGGCTGAAAGAGCAAATTGCATGAAAATATAAAGGAAGAATTGAAGCCTGCTCATTGTTCTACCCACACAGATGTGCCAGCGGGTTCCAGCTTGCTCTCACTCTCCCCTTCAGTGTAGAGAAAGAGAGATGAAAAAGCACAGGGACCTTGTTTCCCCCAAACTCTGCTCATCTCCTCTCAACTTTCTGCCCTGCTGACCAACAGTGACCCCAGGCCCACGACCAGATGCCTTCCACAGACTTCCTCACCAGCTGTCCTTCGTGATACCACTCTAGCAGCTGGATATACAACTTCCCAGATTTTCCTGAAAGCTCTGACTTGTCCACCTGCACTACTGCTTCCAGAAGGCTGACTGGTATTTTCCACTGATCCCCTAACTCCCCTTTCTGGACCTTCTCGACACTGCCTCAACTGCATAAGATCTTATTCCTCTAATCAATCTCTCTTCCATAAAACTTATTGTGTTTTTCAACTTCAAAATATTTCTGCTTCAAAAATGTTAATGTCGCACAGCACAAGGAAAAGATGAGGAATGGATGCAGATTAAAGAGGGTTAAAGAGGGCTTCCCTGGTGGCGCAGTGGTTAAGAATCTGCCTGCCAATGCAGGGGACACGGGTTCAAGCCCTGGTCCGGGAAGATCCCACATGCCGTGGAGCAACTAAACCTGTGCGCCACAACTACTGAGCCTGCTCTCTAGAGCCCGCGAGCCACAACTACTGAGCCCGAGTGCCACAACTACTGAAGCCCACGCACCTAGAGCCCGTGCTCCACAGCAAGAGAAGCCACCGCAGTGAGAAGCCTGTGCACCACAACGAAGAGTAGCCCCTGCTCGCTGCAACTAGAGAAGGCCCCCGTGCAGCAACGAAGACCCAACGCAGCCAAAAAAATATACAAATAAATATTTTTTTAAAAAACTGGCTCAACGTTTTTGAAAAGTACAGTAGACCCCTCAAAATTTCTTTCTAGCCTTTCCATACGTTCACAAAATTCTAGACAGGTCCATCCACTTCTTCATTTTACTAAAAAACTGTATTAAACTTAATTTAGCTGAAGGTAGTATTCTGGTAAGTGAAACACAATTTCCGTCCATGATACCCTTTCCAACCGTGGGAATAATGCTTTTGAGGCAGGCAAGATATAGTGAACAAGCCAACCTGTGTATAACTTACTTCTCCCTCTAGGCTGTAGTCGCCCTGGACAGTTGCGATGTCTTCCAGGGCTTAGGCTGCGCTCCCCTCGTCCACGTTCAGCTCCTAGCACAGGGCCTGCAGCTCCTGCCAGGGTCGCGGCGACCAGCATCGCCCCTTCGGCGCGCGGGGACGCTCCTCGTTCATCCTCCTTCTTGGGCGCGCTACCCACAACCACCCGCGCCAAAGCTCAAAATCAGGGCCGCTTTATGATGTCTCTTCGATGGTCTGCATCCGCGTTTCTCCGCAAAAAAGTCCGTTTATTCTCCAGGGCTCGAGCCGTCCTTCTCCGGAAATGTGATAAGAAGAAGCGTATCATCTTTTCTTAAGTAATTTCTAAATCTGCTTAAGACGTTTTATTTATAAATTTAATTTTATTGCTCCTGGATTTTCCCCAGCATTTTTAAAAGACATTTTTATTTTATTAGTTTTATTTTTTAATTTTTTGCCTGTGTCGGGTCCTAGTTGTGGCATGTAGGATCTTGGCTGAGGTATGCGGGATATTTCCGTTGCAGCACGAGGGGCTCTTCGTTGTGGCGTGCGGGCTTCTCTCTAGTTGCTGGGCGCAGGCTCCAGGGCTAGTAGTTTGCAGCACGCGGGCTCAATTGCCCCACGGTATGTGGGATCCTAGTTCCCCGACCAGGGATCGAACCGGCGTCCCCTGTATCGGAAGGCGGATTCTTTACCGCTGGACCACCAGGGAAGTCCCTCTCCCAGCATTTTATTATGAAAAACTTCAAATATACAGGAAAGTTGAAAGAGGTGTACCTGTGTCTACCACTTAGATTCTACTAACATTTTACCATACTTGTCTCACCATATTTCTACTCACTCTATCTGTCTAACTTTTAAATGCATTTCAAAGTAAGTTGCTGACATCAGTGCACTTTTCCTAAATAATTCAGCCTGCATTTCATTAACTACAGTTCAATATTTGTTAGTGGTTTTTTGTTTGGTGTTTGTTTTGGCTTTTTTTGCTGCTTTTAATTTTCAGTATTAATAAGAAAGATTCTTCCACTCCCAAGATGGAAAGAAATTCATTCATGGATTCTTCTAGTTGTTGTGTTTCTATTTTTACACAGGGATTTAGGGATTTCTGATTCATGTGCAGTTTATGCCGGTACATGGTGTGAGGACTGGATCCAATTTTATACATATATGTATACACAGACACACACACACACACACACACACACAGGGAGTCTCTATTTTAAAAATATTTAAATTGAGATTTAATTCACATACCATAAAATTAACCCTTTCAATGTGTACAATTTAGTGGGTTTTAGTATTTCACAAAGTTGTGCTGCCATCATCGCTACAGTCTATATATGTACGTATCTATGTATGTATATATCTGTTTGCTTGTTTTTCTCCAAATGTCTATGTAGTCTCAGCGCCACATATTAAAAACTCCATCTTTCTGTCAGAGATTTGAGATGCTGCAGTTGTTAGTAAATTTCTGGGTGTTCGGGGGTCCAATTACGTTCCATTGGTCTGCTTGTCCATCTGTCTCGATGTGTGGGAAGTCTTTGCTAACTACAGCCCTGGCCTAGGATTCTGGAGGGGGCGGGGGTGGGGGTGGGGAACGACGGACATGTGGCCACGCCTCTTCAAGGCCTTCAGTCAAGTTCTGTGACGAAGAAACCGTGCCCTATTCCAGCTCACCAACAGAGATAAAAGCTTTAATCCTCAGCGACTGAGAAAAAACCAACTGGGCAGGAAGATGGTCAGCAGGAAACCCTGGGAAGGAGAGGTACCAAGGATCAAGACACCCCCCCATTCTTGAGTCCCCCATCTCCTCTCCTGGCTCCCCAGCCCGGGGCGGGGGCCCGCCCCTTCTCTGGACGTCTCCCCCTTTCTGAGGGCTAGTGGACCCGGGCCAGGGACTGTCGCATCCAGCTCTCTGCCTAGGATTGCCCCAGGAAAGCACCTGCACAGCGTGGCGGAGGCACTCAGGGGTTTGGGAGGCGAGGCCAAGTGTGTCCAACGCCTGCCAAGCGAAGTCCTCGGGACTCACCACGAACAGCCCGCTTTTCAAGGGATTTGCTTGAACCAAAAAGGGGCTTACTGTTTGCAGGCAGGAAGGGGGTCAAGAAAAAGAACTCCCCTCCCCCTAAGCCTAAGCTCCCAGGCCCCCTCCGAGAATCCCTGAGTCCCACTCCTCTTGCCGACCACGCCCCAGACACGCCCCGGCCGCGCCTCCTAGGCCACGCCCCCTCGAGAACCCACCGCTTCCGATCGTGGCTCCAAGGTAGCTCATCTTATTCTTTTTTTTTTTTAAGGTCCTTCCTTCCTTCCTTCCTCCCTTCCCTCCTTCCGTTCTATTTTATTGAAATATAGTTGATTTACATCCACTGAAGCTCTTCCGAGTCTGAGTCTCGGTCCTCTCTCAGACGCACCCCCCGACCCCATCCCCACCCCGCCCCTGCTCCTAAGACCTTCAGCTGTCTCTAAGCTCCTCCCCCCTCAGAGCCCTCCCCTTCTGAGCTGACACTGCTGTCCCTTTTGAGCTCAGTCCCCGCGGAGTCAGGCACCTGCACAGTGACCCCCTCGGGGTGGTACTCTGCGCCCACTGCCACGGAGAAGCTTCGCACAAAGGCCTGCGGAGAAGGAGAGGGAGGGTCCCAGGGCCAAGAGCTTTCCCCGTGCAGACTCCTCCAGCCCGCCCTTGCCCCAGCGCCGTCCCTGATCCTAGAACACTCTACCGCCAGGAGGGGCCCCTCCCTCAAGGCCCAAGTCCTCACCGTTACGCCGGAAAGCTTCCTTGCTCTAAGCCCCCTCTGTTCCCATACACTCACTCTCCATTCCAGCCGGGCCAGTCTCTGAATTCCCTTTCTCCCACCTCACGGGTTCTCTTGACCCCTAGCCTCTGTTTCTCTTAAAAAACGAACGAAAACCCTGGCTTGTCCACTGGACTGTACCCCAGATGTCTGTCTGAACTGTTATTAGCCTCAGACTCAGGTGGCACATCACACACATGCACGCAAGCCTTTCCCACCATAACCTTCAGTGCCGGAATTAAGGGCTACTGCAGGAATTCCAGCATGGCAGCCAGCCCTTGCCTGATCTGTGGGTCTGGGTACCGTGGTGGCTGCATACATCGCTGCAAATGGATAGGGGCTCCTGTCAGTTACTGAAGATATGTTGATGAGGATACCTTTGCCCCTGGAGGAGGAAGCATCATTTGGAAGGTAGTCATTGCCAGGGAACAGAGGGTCCCAGTGATTTCCCCACCTCCACCCCTTAGTCGCTGTCCTAATTTGAGAAAGATCAGAGAGACGGGGAAGAACTGGAAATGTGGATGGGACAGCTGGGGAATGGAAAAAGCCCGGAGGTTGGATGGGGGAAGATCCCGAGTGAAAGACAAAGAGACTGCGGCTTACCTGGTGACCATTTGGGGCAGGACGATCCTAGTCATCTGCAGGAGGAATGGAGAGGACCCTGTCTTTCCCTTTCCACTGCTTTCACCTGCCCAGACTCCTGCCCCCTCCTCAAGTTCACTCCTATCCCCCTACCGTCCCTCAGGGAGTATTCCTCTAGCACTTCCTCTATGCCAGGCCCAGTTCTGGGGGACGCTGGGGATCACCGTGAGTGGTCAGAGCTCGCTGACCTTGGACCCAGTCCCTCCTAGCCCCGACTCATCTGGACCACAGACATCATGTTGCAGTTTATAACATCCAACAATTTCTGGGGGAAGAAAATGCAACCAATCAGTTCTTCCCTTCACCAGCCCTGCCACAACTCTGATATTTTCTAGTTTACTTTTCTTTTAATATGGAACACTTTTTTTTTTGCGGTACGCGGGCCCTCTCACTGCTGTGGCCTCTCCCGTTGCAGAGCACAGGCTCCGGACGCGCAGGCTCAGCGGCCATGGCTCACGGGCCCCGCCACTCCGCGGCATGTGGGATCCTCCTGGACCGGGGCACGAACCCGCGTCCCCTGCATCGGCCGGCGGACTCTCAACCACTGCACCACCAGGGAAGCCCCTGGAACACACTTTTAAAACGTAGCTTCTACTAGGATTTAAAATGCACATAAACTTTGACACATCAACTCCACTCTGGAAATTTATTCTTTTCTAAGATACTCACACATGTGGGAACTGCACATGTCCAAAGATATTCATCGCAACACAATTTGTAGTCACATATACTAGGAAACATCCTGAATGCCCATCAATACTGGGATGACTAAATAAACACAGGGTAGCCAATGGATGGATCACTGCGCACCAGGTTAAAAGAATGGGTCAGCTAATTATTCTGATTAGAACAATCCCCAAGATACATGCCTACCTGTGAAAGGTAAAGTGCAGAACAATAGGCTGCCGCCATCTGGATAAAAGATCCATATACATACTTCTCTATGCACAGAGAAAAACAACTACCACATTTTAAATTGGGGGTCACTTTGGGGGGATAGGATTGGAGGGAGAAGGGAAATTTTCACTTTCATTTCATAAACTTCTCTCTTTGGATTTTTTGATCAGTAAAGATTTTTATAAATGTATACCATACACATACCAAAGTGCATAAATCTTTAGTGTAAAAAATGAACACAAATCTTTAGCCTCTACCCACATAAAGAAAGTATTGACAGTTTCCCAGATTCTTCATCTCCTGCAGTCATTACGCTTGCCTCTTCCCCAGTTAACCACTGTCTTGACCTCTAGCACACTCTAGAAGAGTTTTGTTCAGTTCTGAACTTCATTTAAGTGGAATCGTTGAGCATGTGTCCTTTTATCTCTGGCTTTGTCTGCTAAACACTATGTTTATAAGATTCTTCCGTGTTATGTGTAGCAGAAGTTCATTCATGTTCACTGCTATAATTTTGCATCGTATGAAGGCGGCATGCTTTATTTCTCTAATCAACCCACTCCTGGGCATATATCCAGAGAAAACCATAATTCGAAAAGATACATGCACCCCAATGTTCATAGCAGCACTCTTCACAATAGCCGAGACATGGAAACAGCTTAAATGTCCATTGACAGAGGAATGGATAAAGAAGATGTGGTACATGTATACAGTGGAATACCACTCAACCATAAAAAAGAATGAAATAATGCCATTTGCAGCAACATGGATGGACCTAGAGATTATCATACTAAGTGAAGTAAGTCAGACAGAGAAAGACAAGTATCATATGATATCACTTATATGTGGAATCTAAAAAGATGATACAAATGAACTCATTTATGAACCAGAAACAGACTTGCAGACTTTGAAAACAAGCTTATGGTTACCAAAAGGGAAAGGAAGGGGGGAAGGATAAATTAGGAGGCTGGGATTAACATATACACATTACTGCATATAAAATAGATAAACAACAAGGTCCTACTGTATAGCACAGGGAACTCTACTAAATATTCTGTAATAACCTAAATGGGAAAATACTCTGAAAAAGAATGAATATATGTATATGTATAGCCGAACCACTTTGCTGTACACCTGAAACTAACACAATATTGTAAATCAACTACACCCCAGTATAAAATAAAAATTAAATTAAAAAATATTTAAATTCCAAAAAATAGAAGGAAGAATTCCAGTTGTTCCACATCCCCAACAACACTTGGCACTGACAATATTTTTAGCGTTAACCATTTTAGTGGCTGTGTAGTTGCAGCTCACTCTGGTTTTAATTTGCAGTACCCTAATAAGAATGAGGTTTATTTCTTAAAAGTTCAGGGCAGGGCTTCCCTGGTGGTGCAGTGGTGAAGAATCCACCTGCCAATGCTGGGGACATGGATTGGAGCCCTGGTCTGGTAAGATCCCGTGGAGCAACTAAGCCCGTGCGCCACAACTACTGAGCCTGCGCTCTAGAGCCCGTGAGCCACAACTGCTGAAGCCTGTGCGCCTAGACCCCGTGCTCTGCAACAAGAGAAGCCACCGCAATGAGAAGCCCGCACACTGCAACGAAGAGTAGCCCCTGCTCACGGCAACTAGAGAAAGCCTGCGCGCAGCAATGAAAACCCAATGCAGCCAGAAATAGATAAATAAAATAAACAAATTAATTTTATTAAAAAAGGCTAAAAAAAAAAGTTCAATGCAGCAAGAAGATATAACAATTATAAAGATATACAGACCTAACAGCAGAGCCCCAAAATATGTGAAGCAAAACACCATATACAAAAAACTCTAAATGGATCAAAGTCCTAAACGTAAGAGCTAAAATTACAAAACTCTTGAAAGAAAACAGAGGAAAAGCTTTATGACGTTGGGTTCGGCAATGATTTCTCGGATGATACTAAAAGCACAAGCAGCAAAAGAAAAATAGATAAACTGTACTTCATCAAAATTAAAACCTTTTGCACAATAAAAGATATCGGGCTTCCCTGGTGGCGCAGTGGTTGAGGGTCCGCCTGCCGATGCAGGGGACACGGGTTCGTGCCCCGGTCCGGGAAGATCCCACACGCCGCAGAGAGGCTGGGCCCGTGAGCCATGGCCGCTGAGCCTGCGCGTCCGGAGCCTGTGTTCCACAACGGGAGAGGCCACAGCTGTGAGAGGCTCGCGTACCACACACACACAAAAAAGATACTATCAACAGAGTGGAAAGGCAACTTGTGAACTGGCAGAAAATTTACAAATCATTCATTTGATAAGGGATTAATAACCATAATATATAAAGAGCTTCTACAACTCAAACACCAATGGGTCAAAGAAGAAATCACAGAGGAAACTTAAAAATACTTTGAGACAAATGAAAATAGAAATTAAAACACAACATACCAAATTTACATTTATCTAGATTGGCTAAGAAAAAAAATACTGAAGTTACTAAAATCAGAAATGAAAGTGGGACATTACTACTGATTCCACAGAAATAAAAAGGATTATAAGAGAGTACTATGAACAACCGTATACCTATAAATTGGATAATCTAGATGAAATAGATAAGTTCCTAGAAACACAAAACCTACTATGACTCAATCAGGAAGAAATAGAAAATCTGAGTAGACCCGTAACTAGTAAGGAGATTGGACCAATAATCCAAAATTTCCCAAGAAAGAAAATTCCTGGACAGATGACTTTGCTGATGAATTCTACCAAACATTTAAAGAAGAACTAATGCCAATTCTTCTCAAACTCTTCCAAAACATTGAAGAGGAGAGAACACTTCTTAACTTATTCTATGAAGCCAGCATTGCCCTGATACCAAAGTCAAAGACACTACAGGAAGGGAAATCTACAGACCAGTATCCCTCATGAACATTGACACAAAAATCCTCAACAAAATGCTAGCAAATTGAATTCAACAGCATATTAAAAGGATTATACACCATGACCAAGTGGAATTTGTTCCTAGAATGCAAGGATGGTTCGATATACAAAACTTGACTAATGTAACACAACACATTAACAGAATAAAGAAAAAAATCACATGATCACCTCCATTGATGCAGAAAAGTATCTGACAAAATTCAACACCTTTCATGATTAAAACATTCAATAAACTAGGAATGGAAGGAAACTATCTCAACATAATAAAGATATGAATAATGCACATAAAATAATACATATAATAACATGAAAAGCCCACAGCTAACATCACACTCAATGGTGAAATACTGAAAGCACTTCCTGTTTTTGCCATTTCTATTCAACACAGTACTGGAAGCTCTAGCCAGAGCAACTAAGCAAGAAAAGAAGTCAAAGGTATTCAAACTGAAAAGGAAGAAGTAAAATTATCTCTGTTTGCAGATATGATCTTACATGTAGAAAATCTTAAAAGATTCCACAAAAGAAGTGAAAACTAACAAGCCAACTCACAAAGAAGTGGGATACAAAATCAACACCAAAAACTCAGTTGCATTTCTATACATGAACAATGAACAACCCCAAAGTGAAGTTATGAAAACAGTTCCATTTGCAATAGCATCAAAAAGAATAAAAGAATAGATACACTTAGGAATTAACTTAACCAAGGAAGAAAGACATATACTGAAAACTATAAAACATTACTGAAAGATATCAGAGAAGAGATACAAATTGGAAAGACATCCCGTATACATGGGTTGGAAGGCTTAATATTGCTAAGATGTCAGTACTACCCAAGTGATCTATAGATTCAATGCAATCAATATCAAAATCCTAACAGCATTTTTGCAGAAACAGAAAAACCCAGCCCAAAATTGATATGGAATCTCAAGGGACCCTGAGATTAGCCAGACCAATCTTGCATCATCATTTCCACTTCTGGGTATATGCCCAAAAGAATGAAAAGCAGACACCCAAACAGATATTTGTACATCAACGGTTCATAGCAGCATTATTCAGAGCAGCCAAAAGGTGGAAACAACCCAAGTGTCTATCAACAGATGAAGAGGTAAACAAAATGAAGTATATACATATGATGGAATATTATTCAGCCTTAAAAAGGAAGAAAACTGGGACACATGCTACAACATGGATGAACCCTGAAACTATTATGCTAAATGAAATAAACCAGGCACAAAGGGACAGATATTGTATGATTCCACTTATATGAGGCACCTAGAATAGCCAAAATCATAGAGACGGAAAGTAGAATGGTGGTTTCCAGGACCTGTGGGTAGGAAGGAATGGGGGGTGGGTAAAGAGTTGAAAAAATCCTGGAGATGGCTGGTGGTGACTGTTTCACAACAATCTGAATGTACATAATACCCCTGAACGGTACACTTCAATATAGTTAAAAATGACAAAATTTAAGTTATGTATATTTGCCATAACTTCAAAATAAAGAAAATAAAAAGAATGAAGTTCTGATACTTGCTAACAACATGGACGAAATTGAAAACATTATGCTAAGTGAAATAAGCCAGACACAAAAGGAAAACTATTCTATGATTTCACTTGTATGAGGTATCTAGAATTAGCAAGTCCACAGAGACAGAAAGGAGAGATAGATGCTACCGGGGTGGGGAATAGGGAAGAATGTCAGGATACTGCTTAACAGGACCAGGGTTTCTGTTTGGAGGATGAAAAAGTTATGGAAACAGATAGTGGTAACAACTGTACAACACTGTGAATGTATTTAATGCCACTGAGTTGCACACTTTAAAACGGTTAAAATGGCAAGTTTTATGTTACATATGTTACAATTCTTGAAAAAAAAAATCTGTGCCATTTCCATTATCTTGGTTACATGTGGACCTCATTACATTATCTATTATTTCTCTTGCTTTCAATCACGATTTTTCTTCTAATATTCCTGGTTGTATTTTGTTGAGTGCTGGATATTTAATATTTAAAAACTCGTATTGCTAATTCGAGTCCCTGGACTACATCGCTTTTCTCTAAAAATGGTTTGGTTTGGTTTTGCTTCTCCCCGGCAGCTAAACTAGGGGGCGCTAAAATATAAGATCAACTTAATCCCGACGGGAATCGAGATCATTTAAAACCTGGCTTCAGTTCCTATGAAACCTACTTTACCCTAACTCCTAGATTATAGTTTTCAGGATCCCAGCCTAAAGCCTGGGATGTTTTCCAAAGCTTTGCACTACATTATTTGTTGCAGCTCGCACACTATGTTGAAAGCTCTGCTTTGCCTCTTAAACGCTCATCCACTTTGAAGGGGAATGTTGCTTCAAAGGTCAGATTCCCCCCTCTTGGATTCTTTCTTCTCTCAAATCTTGGTGCGACAATTCCTCATTGCCTTAGTAGTTTGATGCCTTCAAACAGTTATTTTAAAAATATTTTATCCAGCTCTCCTAATCGTTCTCATTTGCAGGGTTAGTCTTAAGCCACAACTTCCTCTAACACCAGAGGCAGGATACACAGACTGCCTCTCTTTACATCTTCTAAAATGAGCCTATGCATTACATTTTTTTTTTTTTTTTTTTGCCGTACGCGGGCCTCTCACTGTTGTGGCCTCTCCCGTTGCGGAGCACAGGCTCCGGACGCGCAGGCTCAGCGGCCATGGCTCACGGGCCCAGCCGCTCCGCGGCAGGTGGGATCTTCCCGGACCGGGGCACGAACCCGCGTCCCCTGCATCGTCAGGCGGACTCTTAACCACTGCGCCACCAGGCAAGCCCGATGCATTACTTTTGAAATAATAATATGTGAAATCTAAAAGCCATCCTGATCTCCTATTTTGTCTATGTCTAATAATAATGGCCCACATTTATGGAGCACACAACTTAGGTTCATGTGCATCATTTTATTCCATTGTCATATCAGCCCTGTAAGGTCAGCAAAAATATGGATTCCCATTTTATAGATATGAAACTGAGGCACTGACTTTCCCACGTGGCTCATTTCCCCTTAAAGTGAGCAGACTCAACTTGAACAGTTGTCCCCGTTGGGCACCGCAGAAGGGCGCCCCACGGAAGGAGAGACCTCCTTCACGTCCTAGACATCGTAGATTTGTAGCTCTCACAACAATGAACAAAGCTAGTGTGCTGCGCCGGGTTTTCCAACAGAGGGAGCAGTGTGAGGCAGAGGCACCCGCGGACTAGTACTCGGTTTTACTCACTTGGCGAAGTCCTCACAGTCGAGCAGTTTCCTCAAGCCAGGTGCATATTGCTTGCCCACATTGTTTACTGAGTGAGAGGGGACAAATTGTTTGTTTCACTCCAACGGGCCCAGGGAGACGGGGTAGGGGCAAAAGGGAGGGCGACCACAGAGAGTTCCGGGCCAGGGTGAGCACGGGGGCGGTTGAGGGCAGCGCTCCTCCCAACAGGCACAGGGACGTACTCAGTACTCCGATCTCCAGGTCCTTCAGTCCTGCCGCAATGGCCTCGTAGATCTCCAAGCCTCCGGTGAAATCCACCTGGATGACTCGTGTGCTTTTGCCATGAAGCCTCTCTGGGAAGGTCAGTGGGAGTCAGGCCCTTAGCTGGAATCTGGTCCGACCTCTGCCCCCGTCCCTGTTCAGCCCCAGCCCCTACATGATGGCCCCAGATGCATAGATAGCTAGCTCCCCGCACGCGCCTCGGCCACCTACCGACCTCGTCCGGGATCACGCCCCAGACCACGCCCCCAGCCACGCCCCCGTCTAGCTCCAGCCCTTGACCCAGAACTTAACCCGCTCCCCTCTTCCCCTCCTCACCTATCGCCTTTGCCTCGTGCTCCAACTTGCTCAGGTCTCGACTGATGAGGACGATGTTCAGACCTCTCCCGGCGAGCTGCAGGGGATGCATTCATTTATTTATTCACGAAAGCCACAAATATTTACTGTGTGCTGACAGGGTGCTACAGTGTTATAGGCGCTGTGGATGCAGAGGTGAACAAAAGAGAAATACGAAAGTCTGTCCTCCTGGAGCGTGCATTCTGGGGAAAGACTATTCCAGATAGACAGAACAGCAAGTGCAGAGGCCCTTGCACAAAGGCTGGCAGCTTCGAGGACGCCATACAGTCCAGTGTGCACTGAATGAAGTGGCCGGTTGTACAGCAGCCCAGATCATGGAGCCTCGAATGCCCCAGTAAAGACTCTGGCTTTTATTCTCAGTGACATAAGAATCCAATAATTTTTATACCTTCCTTCCTTTATGCATTTATTCAAAATGTGTCTATTGAGCCCTTGCTCTTTGCTGGGTGGTGCTGGGGACACAGCATGCCCAAGATAGACCCAGTCTCACTCAGCAGCCAGAGGGTTCTCTCTGAAATACAAACCTGTTCCTGCCTTCCCCTACTCAGAACCTGCCTTGACTCCCCAGTGTCTCTGAGATAAAACTACACTCCTCACCGTGGCCTCAAGTGGCCTGGCTCCGGCCTGAGTCTTCAGCTGTCTCTCCTGCCGGTGGCCCTCTATGGGAATCCAGGCACAGCAGACAGGTCATCTAGTCCCAAGAGCACCGCCTGAATTTTCCTGCCTCTGGGCCTTTGCACATGCTGCTCCTTTTGCCTTGAATGCCCTTCTGCTTGAAACAAAGTCAGCCAATATTTGTGGAACGGGTGCTCAGCAGCATTTGGCTGCATGTCTGACCCTCTCAACCTGCCTGTCTGAGGGTGACATGTTATATGGGACTGAGCATCCATCAGCTTTGGAGGGGGGCTGGGCACAAACATCTCAACAGCTCCAGCGTCTGAGAGGTTGATGCTGTGAAGGGGATTTATTCATTCAACAAACATTTGTCCAGAATCTGCTTGTGCCTGGCCTTGTGCTAGGTGGGGCTGACCAGCACAGCCACAGCCCTGCCCTCTTGGGGCTCACAGTGCAGTGCTGGGACAGACCGGTCCCCAGGTGGCAATGACTCAGAGTGGCCATCACTACCGGCTGACTTGCATCCAGACACAAGTTCTCTCCCTTTCCACCAGGGTTGCCTTTCTATTCATGCACTAGCCTCCCCTCCCTTCTTGTCCACTCAAGGCCATCACTCCAGCTTTCCCCCATCTTCCTCCTTCATCAAAACCTCTCCCTCTTCTGGGTGATTCCCATCAGCATGAAATCCGACCAGAATCTCTCTCATTTTCTCTGTTCAGGCATTGGCGCATTTCTCATCACACCACCGCAGTTGACTCAGCAGTCTAAGAGAGGATTGTTTATCCTGGCTCTCTTACCATACCCTCTTGTACCCAGTCCAATCGGTCTCCCACCCCCGCCACGCCACCCAAACCACTCTGGTCACCAATAACTTCCATGATGGTAAACCCAGTGCTGTATTCTCAGCACCTCCCAATAGCAACTGACACATTCAGCACCCCCTCCTCCTGGAAACATTCTTTTCCGTGGCTTCCAAGACCTCTCTTCCAACCCTGGTTTCCCCCCCATTCTCAGCTTTTGTGCCTTCTCATCTTCTGTACCTCTTAACTTTGGGTGCTCCAGGGAGCACTCTGGGGTGATTCAGACTGTGCTCCCCTTCTCCATCAACACCCACTACCACAGGCACCTCATCTAGTCTCATGACTTTAAATGGGGTCGTTATGTTGATGATGCTTCCATTTATATCTCCACCCCAACCTCCCCTCTGAACTCCAGAATGGCACTTCCAACTTCTGGAACTTCTCAACTTGGATACCTAATTGGTATCTCAAACTTGGAATGTCCAAAACGAGACTCCTTCCTGTTTCCCCCAAACTTGGTCCTCCCCTCAGTTCAACTCCATCTCAGTAACAGCAGCTGCATTTTTTGACATATTCTGGTCAAAAATTTTATAGTAATTTATTTTATGAGGCCAGCATTACCCTAATACCAAAAACCAAACAAAGATATTACAAGAAAAGAAAACTATAAACTAATATCTCTCATAAAGTTAGACACAAAAATTCTCGACAAAATATTAGTAGATCAAATCCAGCAATATAGAAAAAGGATAATCAATAATCAACAAGTGGGGCTTATTGCAGGAATGCAGGGTTGGTTCAACATTTGAAAAATCAATTGATGTAATGTACTCTATAAACAGAGTAAAGAAGAAAAACCATATGATCACCTCAACAATCACCGAAAAGTCACTTAACAAAAGTCAACCTCCATCCATGATAAAAACTCTCAGCAACCTAGGTATAGAAAGGAACGTCCTTAACCTTATAAAGCTTACATAAATACATACACACATACATACATTTTAAAAACCTACAGCTAACGTTATACTTAATGGTTGAAAACTGAATGCTTTTCCCCTAAGATCAGGAACAAGGGACGATGATGTTCACGCTTACCACTCCTCTGAACATCCTATTTAATTTCCTGGGCAGTACAATAAAGCAAGAAAAAGAAATAAAAGGTATACAGATTGGAAAGTCAGAAATAAAATTGTCTCTTACACAGATGACATGACTGTCTACATAGAAAATCCCAAGAAATCCACAAAAAGACTACAGGAATGAAGAGCTGAGTTTAGCAAGGTTTCGGGTTACAGGGTCAGAAGTTTGGAGTCATACTCCACAACCAATCTTTTTAATAAATCTTGTCAGCACTACCTTCAAAATCAATCCAAAATCCAAGTACTTCTTATGCCTCTATGCTGTCACCCTGGTGTAAGTCATCAAGATTTCTTGCTTGGATTTTGCAAGAGCTTTTTAGCTGATCTCCCTGCTTCCATCCTCACCCCCCTATAGTATCGCATCCCTCTTCAGAACCCACGTCACTCAGCAAATGTTAAAGTCTCCACCATAACCTACCAGATTCCCCATGATCTGCCCTGAAATTGCATCTTTGCCCTCATCTCCTACTGTTCCCCTCTCCCTTTCATTCTGATACAATCACAGTGGCCCCTTTCCTGCTTCTCCAACAAGCAATGCTTCCTACCTCAGGGCCTTTGCACTGGCAGTTTCTTCTCCCTGGAAATTCCTTCTCCCAGTTATTCGCAAGACTCCCTCCCTCACCTCCTTCTGGTCTTTGCTAAGTGCTGCCTTCTCAGTGACACTTCTAATTATCCTATATAAAAATTGGAACGTGCACATTCCCCAGGGCTCCCTGTTCTCCTTTCCTCATTTATTTTTCTCCTTAACTCTTACAACCATTTGATACACGATACGTTTCATTTGTTTATCTTATTTACACCGGTCTCCCCTCACTTCAACATATGCTTCATGATGGCAAGGTCTTTTGATTTTTTTAAATCAATTTTGTTCACTGCTGTACCCCTGGCACCTAGAAGATGCCTGGCACGTGGAGGTGGTATATAAATATGTTTTGAATGAATAAATCAGGACAATGATAGGAGAACATCAAGGGTCTGTAGAAGCCCAGTGTAAACACCCACCCCCACCCTGGGGAGCAGAGGGAAGGCTTCCTGGAGGAGAGGACGTCTGAGGGAACCAGATAAAGCACACAATTCTCAGTCTAATAGGGTTAGCTGACAACAGACAAACAGACAGGAGAAGCTCTCCCACCACACACGCCAAGCCCTGGCTCACCTCACGTGCATAAGCCTTGCTGATGCCGTTGGTGGCTCCTGTCATCACTAGAAAGAGGGCAGGAGGGAAGCACCCCCAGATCCAACCCCCTATCATCCCCTCCACTGTCCCTCTTGTCCCTTTTTGCACCTTTTCTGGGACCCTCCTTCACTGAAGCCCAACCCCTCCTGGTTCGAGAACTTCATGCATTCCATGCCTCCCTTGCCCTAGTTGCTCCAGCCTTCACCTGTCTTTCTTCCAGGAGTCCCTGGCCTCTGCCCTGATTAGGGACCCTCATCTGTCATCTGTCCTCGTTCTTGCTGTCCCCACCCCTACCTGCCTGGCTCGGAGCCCTCCTTCCTCACCTGCCCAGGCTCTGTGCCCCCGGAGCCAGGGCTTGTCCCGGCGTGCCTGGGCAGCAGGTAAACATAGACTGTGTAGCTCGCCCCCCAAGTCGCCCACAGCAGCAGGCACGTGGCGGTAACCCTCCCCTCACTCTCAGCACATCCCAATCCGACCCCATCACAACCCCAGCCAACAAGTCATCCAACCTAGGGCCAACGAGGCTTTCTTTGGGAGCAGCTATTTCAAGCCTGGCCTGCCTCCTCCGCCTTAGCCCCGCCCACACTGCTGGTCAAGCATTCCGCCCCGCCCCTCACTCTAGCCACGCCCATTGGGAGGTCTATTCTAACCAGCAGCCTCGCCCATCGGTCCTAGCACCTCCCCTATCTAATTGGGCCACACTTGGGCTTAATGTCTGTCCTGCATCCCTGCAGAGCAGGTGTACATCCAGCCTCCCCTCAGCCCACAGAGCTGGGCAAAGGGTGCCCACAGATGACCACCGTTTGGGTCACTGAACTCAACCTAGATGCTGCTGGGGGCCAGAACTGATAATAGCGATCAGTCACTAGAGGGTTTTGTCAATGGACAGTTTGTCTGAAGAACATGACCTACAGATTATCTGCTTGGGCAGTGTAAAAGCCAAAGCCCTTACAGCGGCTTTACGTGACCTTCCTCCTCGTTCCTCTTTTGCAAATTCTATTTTTTTTTCACTTGTTCTTAGTATTTATCATTTAATAATAATAAACTATAATTATTATTTATTATGGATATTATTTAATAATAATAATTAAAATTAGAGTTATTATTATATGATTAAATTATTATTATTTAATAATAAATTATTGTGGTAAAATATACGTAACATAAATTTTACAATTTTAACCCTTTTAAAGTGTATATATAATTCAGCAACATTAGGTATATTCATAATATTGTACAACTGTCACCACTATCCATTTCTAGAAATATTTCATCAACCCTGATACAAAGAAGACAACAGGTCCCAAATGGAGTCAGTTGTGCTAACCCCCAGGTCAGTAAAACGAGATTTAATAACAGACCTAATTGTAGTTTCAACCCCACCAGAATGTAACCTTTAACCATTCAACCTAGAATCGCCTGGTCAGCACTAGTGAGGTAATTCACCCAATAAGCCCTTCCATCCCCGTAGGAGGATGAATTCAAACAATGAATTCTTTGCTAAAAAGGTCCTTTTTTCCACCCTCTTTCTGCCTTTAACAACCTTTTCTTTTCTACAGCTCAGTGGAGCTCCTTTCTATTGCTAGATGGGACACAGCCCGATTCATGAATCATTGAATAAAGCCAATTTGATCTTTAAATTTACTCAGTTGAATTCTCGTTATTTAACAGATTTGGTGGCAGCAGCGGGACCAAAGGAGACTTCCGACGGCTTTGGGGACAGCAAGAAACACAGGTGTAGTACCCCATGAATCCTTTGAGCTCACTGTCTTTCTCAGCATTTCCGAGGGCCTTGGGTGAGCTTCTCTCGGTTCTGAGTTCTCTTCTGTTTGCGTCAAGCTCCTGATCCACTTGGCTTTCCAGTTAGTTTCCCATTTGTCTGGAATCACTAGTTCCATGTCGGGAACTGCTGGTGACAGCTACAGTTTCCCATTTGTCTGGAAGATGCCTGCAGTTCCCATTCCTTGGGGTCCGCTGGTTCAATCCTTTCCCCAGTCCCCAGTTCCATGTTGGGAGTTGCTCATGGTATGCCCAGGGCCTTTCCTTGGCCAGGATGCGGTAACATCTCTGGGCTATTGCCAATGTATTAAAGGGCATGTGTTTGTTTGTCTTGTTTTGTATCAGTGAGAGTTGCTGCTGACTGGGACCTCAGAGGTCAAAAAGCCGCAAAAATTGGTGGGTGTGGATCGAGCACTTAAGACCTGTTAGAGTGCTCACCACCAAACCCAAAGACATCGTGTTAGGATAAGTTGGTCAAGGAATGGGTTAGATGGACAGTAGGTCACCTACCAACCTCAAGAAAATGTCCATGCAATAAGCTACACGGTAAAATGCAATACAATCCCCAATCCAGTGGCGCATCCCTTTTAGGTGTTGATTCGGCTCTGAGAAACCCAAAGCCTTAGCTAATGGGATCCTTAAGTTCTAACGGGTTAAACGCCCCACCTTCCAGCACACCTGCTTATTTTATGTCTAAACACTATGGTTCCGGAAGCTATAGATATCTATAAAAATAGGCAAATCTGACTGAAAACAATCTAGAGTTACAACGAGGGAATGTTCCAGTTACACAAGATCCTTCACTTAAGAACTGCACTTGAAAGTAAGGGTTCATGAATTAAATGAAGAGAATGGGATGCCTATTTCAATTGGTTTAAGTGAACTTCCCAAAGGCTTCAAGATTCCAAAATAGCTTCATTAAAGGACTTGTTACCGAAGGCTGATGAGAAGGGAAAGACAACAGAGGTACCTAAAACAACAGGTGACAGGACTGACAGGACTCTGCTCCCCTCTATCCTTCTTTGCCTGAGCGTTCACATTTTACTCATTCCCTGTCCGGACTGCCTTTCTACTCTGGAGACGATTAAATAGTTACCTTTTAAAATAAAAAGGCCCGAGGTTGCAGGTGATCCTCCTCGGACAGCTTTCACTCCTTGGTCAAAGACTAAACCAAGGGACTTCCCTGGTGGTCCAGTGCTTAAGAATCCGCCTTCCGATACAGGGGACATGGATTCAATCCCTGGTGGGGGACTAAGATCCCATCTGCCGTGGGGCAACTAAGCCCGCGAGCCACAGCTGGAGAGCCCATGTGCGGCAACTACAGCCTCCACGAACTCTGGAGCCCACATGCTGCAACAAAGAGCCCACACGCCACAACAAAAGATCCCGCATGCCGCAATGAAGATCCCGTGTGCTGCAACTAAGACCCGATGCAGTCAAAAAAATAAATATTTTTTTATTTAAAAAAAAAAGACTAAGGAGCCATAGTTAAAGAATTTTCTAATCCCCAAAAGTTTTGTTGAAACGTTTAGAATCCTATGACCCTGGGTCGCCAGATCTTTACCAGCTTGTGTATGTGTTGGTAGGACCTGGTGAAGCCCAAAAACAGACGTGGGAAGCAGAATGGCATCATCCTGAGGATGATATTCAAGATCCTCAGTCTCGGGGCTTCCCTGGCTGTCCAGTGGTCAAGACTCCACGCTTCCTATGCAGGGAGTGCGGGTTAGATCCCCGGTCAGGGAACTAAGATCCCACAGGCCACAGGGGTGCGGCCAAAAAAACCCCAAAACACATGTTAAGATCCTGGGTCTCTAACACGATCCTCTGATAGACCAGAAAAATCTCCCAATGTGGCAACTGAGCCTAGGGTGTTCCCTGCCTACATTGATTGGTCTATTATTCAAATATGCAAACAAAGAAAGAGGAATCTGTGGCAGATTTTAAAGCCCGTTTGGAAGCTCTCTTCTGATGGCATTCTGGATTCCGTTCAGTAAACGAGGTCACTCGATCTGCTCTTGCTGCCCTATTCGTAAACAGATTATTTCCTGAGATTAGCAGGCTAATAAAAAGACAGAAAATAGGATGGGAGGCCACTGGTCTTGTTACTAAGCCGGTTTCGTTTGCCCTACATGCAGCAAGCCAAACGTTGATACGTCAAGGTTTGCAGCAGAGCAACAGTTTATTCACAAGGCAGCCAAATGGGGAGATGGGAGAATGAATCTCAAATCCGCCTACCCAAAAGTGAGGGGCTTGAGATATTTATGAGATAAAAAAGGTCTTAGGTTTGGGGGAAGGTGGTTGTAGGTAGGGAAGAGATGAGGTAATCAGTGCTTTGCATAGGCGTATCTGGGTTACATGCTTCTTCATGGGATGCGTGTTCAAAAATAGAGGTGCTTAGCACAATCTGAGGGTGGAGGCTTTGGCTCTCTGATGTCAAATTGTCATTCATCAGACACCTGTGCAGGCCTAGCTTTAGGGTCGGTGGTCCCAACCAGTCTTAGCTGGCTCGAACTGGACAAGAGCTGACTCCAGTTTCCTAAAAAACAACGTAAGCCCCCATTATTATAGCATCCCCTATGTCGGAGGTGTTATCTATAGGGGTGGTAAAGGAGTCTTGTGATACATTACCTAGGGTACATGAAGCTTGCAATTAAGGAGAGGAAAAAAGAAAAGAAAAAAATAACTAAAGCCAGCTTACTTAGTGAAGGCATTTTACAAGCAGAGGGTTTTAAGCAAGTTCATTTATCTCGTGTTCTGTAAAACAAGCTCAAGAATTTCTGTTAGTCACCAGCCTCTATTAATCCTGTGGAGCATGGTTTCAGTCTCCCCTATCTTTTTAAAAAAAATTTATGTATTTATTTGGTTGTGCTGGGTCTTAGTTGTGGCAGGCAGGCTCCTTAGTTGTGGCTCGTGGGCTCCTTAGTTGTGGCATGCAAACTCTTAGTGGTGGCATGCATGTGGGATCTAGTTCCCTGACCAGGGATCAAACCCGGGCCCCCTGCATTGGGAGCACGGAGTCTTAACCACTGCGCCACCAGGGAAGTCCCCTCCCCTACCTTTTGATCATTCCTCAATCTTGAGGAAAGAGGGGCCGAGACCATGCTGGCTACTTCCTGCTGATAACGGGTGTAGGCCTACCAAGGGTTTGAGAAATGAAACTGTTATGCATTTGATTGCAAGTATGCACAAATCCCAAGATGAGGACAAGGCTTTGGGCTTAAGGATACAAGACAAACAGCAAGAACAGAGTTAGGACAAGATGGAATATAAATCCTAGCAAGCACAGAATAGTAATACCGAGTTTAAGCAAAATCCCTCCCATACAGACCTTATTCCCTACGGGATCCATGAGAAGGTACTTCCTAAGGGATTGAATCCATGTTCTTGTGATGACACCTGTGGGAGCCAAGTTGTCTAATTTTGTCTAAGAAGGTTTTTTCCTTCAATGTGGTATTAAAATATACATAACAGGAGCTATTGGCCACTACATACACTCCTCTTTTTTCTGCTAAAATATAATCTAAAAAATCTTATTGTCTAGTACTGTTCTGGCTAATGAATCTAGGGCCTTTTGCAGGCTATGGCTTGAATGTGATCTTTTATGTCTGTTATAATCTGTCCTTGATATAGATGAGAAAGAATTACAACAAAAATCCTCTAGTGTAACAGAGGTGCCCCCAAATCTATGGGTACTTCTAGTCCTGACATTGGGAGAACAAAAAGCACAGAACTGTAAAAATTCTGTAAAATATGTGGTTAAACCTCTTCCTAAATTGCCTCAATATTCATTAAAGCC